TTTTGCAATGCTAGGAGTGGCATGTCTGGCAAAAAAACTCCTGAATTATGAATTTTGTAAAAAGCTTAACATAGGCAAGCCAAATTGTTTTTTTTTTTAAGTAAACAAGTGTACTAACTTACATATTCAGGATCCACAATCAAAAAGAACCTTCAAAAACATCCTTGCTATTTTGACAACTAGGCAAACAGAAAGCAAACCATACCTTTGCAATGTTCCACGATGACCTTCTCAAACATCTCAACATCTCAGTATAGTACTTATCAACTTCAGAAAAACAAAGAAATAAAAGAATAAATCTTTCCCTGCTGCTGTTACTGCTGAAAGAAATATTAGATTAATTATAAAATAAGGAATAATTTACCAGAACATTATCCTTAGTACTGATGGAATCCGAGGTCTGAGAAGCCAACATGATGCTATAACAACTGTTCCAGCTATAATGATACAACAACCTGGTCCATCTTCACTCTGGCCAGCTTGACAACGTCTACCTCGTACCCTGGTCAGGAAAAATTGATCCTCCAACCGTCTTCCTCTTACTAAGTGAGAGAGAGAGAGAGTGGGCAGCACCTAGACACTTCTCTGTCTGACTATCCAAACAGCCAACCAATTCTATTCTCTCTCATCTCAAGTATTGATCCCAGCTTTGGCAACCCACTGGAACATTAGCATAATAGTTCCTGCAGGCACACATGCCACTTGTTCCACCAGGGACAATCCACCAATACATCCATGATTGCCACACTAAAGTACATGTAAAGTTTTCAATGAATCCATCAGGGAGAAAAAATCACACAAAGGACACACTCTCTCACCTGGCTGAGTGTAAAGAATAGGATTATACCTGCACCTAGTATGCCTTTCTATTTCCCAGTTATTTTATTATCAATATGTAGCTGAGTGTGATGCTATCCATATCCCTGAGAAAACGAGGTATTGATTTTCTCTGGGAGTCTTACATCATGGTGCTTATTGAGCAACTGTATAAGAATTATTAGACACTGCATGGAATTTTAACACGAGGGAGGAATAATTTCCTTAGAATCTCTGAGACGATCCTGCTCTGGTTATACTCTTAGATTGCCTGGCAGACAATCTGGCCTTCAAAGGTTTCTGGAAACACACCTCAGTCTATTATCAGCATGTTTTTGCCATTTCTAATTTCTAGATTTCTGAGGCATAAATGATAACGGAGCACTGTTTCCCCATAATCTAGGGAACTCTGGTTGATAAACTTTGTTGGACCTCAAGAAGACCCCATCCTAAACCAATGGAAGTTAAAGCGCTGATAACCATTATTGATCAGACGCGTTGGCAAGGGCGTGCATATTTATATCAATGTTCGTCAGTTATATAGCAAAATTATTCTTACGACACAGATGGGAAATAATTGAGCTACTCTATTAATAGGATACACTTGAAGTGGTAATCAAGCATGGCCAACCTATACAATCTGCTACCAGTTGAAATGACATATCTGATCTATCAATGTGCCAATTTATAATGCCTTTCTTATTATAAACAATATCAGTTGTGATTTAAAAGATATCTGTTACCACTGTTTCACTCTTCACTACTCAGCAAAATATTGTGTTATCTCACAAAAATTTATTAGGTCAGGCATTGTTTCATTATTTCTGAGAACTGTGTTCCATACAATAGCACTACATTGAAAAGCACAGATCAAGTCTCCATTCTTCACAGACAAATGGAAAATGCAAATAAAGTTTCTGACTAATAGAATTCTCTCTCACATAATAACCTAGATACAAGCCAAAGCAATTTTTATAAGACACTTGGTAAATGAGATACCAGACACTCTTAGAATACATACAGTCCTAATTGACTGTCAGTTTTCAAAATTACTCCACTTTGCTCCAGAACATAATTAGCAGATCAATAAAACTGGGGCCATTCACAGGCAGAAGTGCACTAACTTAACTGAAATTATTTCACCACAGATGATACTTACTAAAACCTCCATTGTCTTGTGGTACTTTTTCAATGCCCAGTTACTAATTCATGTAAGGCAAAAAACATCTAGCATAAGCCAAGAGTAGAGAGTATTGCGAGTGTGTTTGGTGTAGTGTGAGAGGAGTGGGGGTGGGGGCAGTGGGGGTGCTGCAGTTAACCTGGCATTTGCTTTGTATTGGCTACATTTCTTGTTTTTCACCAAATCGGTGCTGTAATGACTGAAATGCCATCAATATACAGTCACTTTCAACCTTATTTTATAATCATTGCATCTGACTGGAGTTGCAGGCGTTTGCATGATCTGTGGAAAGGTTGGAGCAGACAGGGATTGGCCATATCTATGCAGAGAAAACAAACATTCAAACAAAAACTGACGTTTCAATTTTTTAAGTCTCTACTTAACTTCTGTATTTTTTTATCTCTATTTTAATTCTGATTCATTTCTCATAAATAATTCTAGCTCCATTATATTAAAAGAAACATTTTTTTTTCTGTTTTTCTTATATTTGTGTCTTTATATGCAAATGCACCAAACAAACAAATAAGCAGTAAAATGTTGGATTTGCAACTTTGTAATTTCTCATGGTTCACTGGCTAACAAAGTCAATGTTATAACTAAATTTTCTTCATCTCAAATGTCTGGGCTTGCTCTATTGAATATCCATGCAGCTTTTTCTGCCTCAGTTGATCTGCCTGTAAAGAAACTGCTTATTTTAAGCTGTGATCAATACGAAGTGACGCGGCGGCAACTGTGCAGCAGGGAAATGTTGCAGTATATAGTGTACAACAGCTGAATACCAGCTGACAGACTCAAGATCTAGCATGCGTAATCTATGTTTTCTTGAAAAATTAACATCCAAGATCGATAAAATGCTCCTCTAGCAAATCCCAACAAAACTAGCCTTTAGCCTATCATTACATATAATAGGATTGATCAGATGGGTGAAAACACTTGGGTGAAAACCTTACATTGCTAGTATTTTTTGTCAATCAATTCCCTTTAAATATCACAAACTTTATCAGTTTATAAATCATTTATATACAGAAATATATGAGGTTGCATGAGCAAGGTTGCAATTTTTCTTTAGGTGCAAATTAATGATTTATGATTACGAGGTGGGTAATCAGTCCGATATGCAGTTTTCCTGCTTTGAGTAGCTGCTACTTTTTCTGTTCTTGATAACGTCCATATCATTATCACTTCTCTTGCACCATTTTATCTCATCAAGCTCTTTTCAAAACGTATTCCCTTGGCATTATTTGCGCACAGGTCACTGCTTATGGCTGGGTTTATCCATGCTAACTCAAGACTACACTGATGCCGTCAGCTATGGCTGCATATATCCGCTAGGGAAATCAACACATAAACCATCTACTGAAACCCAGGTCTAAAGCCAGGTCAATTCCAAGTGATTTCAAAGGAATTTTAAATAGAAAAATTTGGCCCTTTCACTCTCTTAGCTGGCCCAATTTGAGAAATAAAACAGAACAAAAATAAAACAGATCGATTTTTGATTCAGAGCAGACCTTTTCCAGCCAAAAGAGCAACACCCCCCTTCCCTCCCCTTTCCCCTTTTTGACAGGCCTGACACCTGCCTTTTTACCAGTTATTCAAAGTTTTTTTTTCTCTGTCCAAACCAAATGGCATTGTCACCACTCATAGGATAGGTGAAAATGATTTATGTACAATACTTTTCAGTAACAGCACTGGATGTCTCCTTCCTCAAGGTGAGTTCCACTACAGTCCTGACCATCCACGTATTGTTCCACGTCATAACAATACTGAAGAACTTATCCACCTGCTGATAAATTTATGTGTACCAATAAAATGATCTGTCAAAGTTGGAAATTTACTCTTAATATGCCTTCAAAATTGAAGTGTTCATATCAAACTAGGAAACTAAGAATCTCTTGGTGATACATTTGGCATAAAAATACTCACCATTTAAAGATTTAGAGAGCTAGCAACAAAATAATGATAGATTTAACAAAAAAAAAAAAAAAGCTTCAAAATAAATACCAAAAAATAAGACAATCTCCAGTTTTACTTCATTTCTATAATCTATTCTCCATCTTTTCAACCTGCTGATCAATACAAACTAGTCAGATTCGTTGAACGCATCATTAAACTGATGCCCCTATACTGCCCTTTTCCATTTGGTAGCTGAATTGGTAAAAACACTCGAAAGCCAAGTACATCAGCCTACTGCTTTTATGTTCTCCTTTCCACTTCCTCCATTTTCACTGTGTAAATTCATTAATGGATGAACATCGTTTACCTGTAATGAATGGACTCAGGGAATAATAGATAAGTCTATTTGTGATGTTGTATTATTGATCTCTAATGAAGAAGACGGTCCAGGTGATGCCATACAAAAACCTTTCCCTCAGGTGGTTTAAAGATGAATCAAAAAGTGCATGGAGGATAAGTAGAGTATATCATCTGTTTAATCAAATATCCTACCAGTGAAATGTGCATGCTTGAGAAAATATACCTGTAAATTGTAAACAGAAAGTGAAACTGCAATGTGCGACATTCTGGCTTCCCTACACACCTAAATCATCAAAAAGAAACTGTGCAAAGAAAAATGAAGGTCAACCTTCATCAAATTGAATGCATCACAAGAAAAAAATTTGAAACATTCTCAATTTACTCCAAACCACAAAATACATGTAAAACAATGATAAAATAACCGAAACTTAATCGTGTCAATCTCTGCCCGACCTGTTTGTGACTGGCAGGGGTGGGCTGATGGTGGGGCCACTGCTGATCCAATGCCCCCCTTGTAGGCCCAAGACGCGAAGCTGGCGACCACGTCTTCTGCTGCTGCTGCTGTCGNTGTGTGTCGGTGGGGGGGAGAGAGAAACACTTTTTACTTTTATGTACACCTTTATGTTTCATCTTTACAAAGATGATATCCTGTTATAAGACAAAACCGCAAGAAACATTTTTGGCAGTATAAACTGTGGATGGCATATTTGTAGGAGGAACACTTTAGTTACCACATATCAGGAATACTCACAGCATTGCTGGTGTTAATGTCTGTGCTGCCTTTCAAATATTCCAAGACCTTCTCTAAGTTACCAGCACGTGCAGCCCGCAAGAAGCTTGCATTGCCATCCGTCTGAAACGAGAAGAAATAGGGAGTCAATAGGAGCGTTTACATTCAATCAATATCTACAGAATTACTGGTGCACACCTAATGCCAATGTTTTGAAACCATTAGGCCAGAATCTAACCATCTGCAGGTCTCTTTGAAATCTAATTGCTGCAAAAAAAATGTCATCAGTTTTTTTCCCCTAGGTAGTTAGGCACAAACTGATGCAAATCTGGTACGCAATTCGCTAGAGCCATTTTTGCTAGTGTAAATGAGCCAAATGGTGAGAAGAAAATATTCTCTCCTTCAAGATGAACTCTGCATTTCTGGTAGTTTGTTTTTACAACAACCAATCACCCTTTTAATCGACACTATTAAATGACAGCAGGAATCCTTGTAACATGGGCAGTTTGTCTATAGACAAATTCAGAAAATATTTCACGCTTCATCACAAGACCTTTTATGTTCCATTTTTTAATACCAAGAAAACTTGGTGTTTAGAAGTAAAAGAGCATTATTTCAAAGAAATTTCAAAGGATTTCCAGTTATATATAGCCACTGATCCTGAAATAAAACAATTAACCTATGACGTAATGTGTCACTTGATCTCCTGGTTTTTAAAAAAAACAAGTCAACTATCTTCACCATGATCGGAACCCTTAACATGGGACTTTTAATTTGACAACATGTTTCTTTAAGTGACTCAGTCCCCGGGCCATGCCAGATAAACTACTTCAAGTTTCAGAGAGTTCTGTTCTGAATAAAATAATGGTCTAGCCTGTACAAGAGTTATTTTGTCCACTATCCCTACTACTGTGATATAGGTCAAAGTGTGGGTCTGCCATTTCCTTTGCCCGGATATTATGTATTTTACAATTCCCTTGACTGCGAGAGTGAGTCACCTAGTAATCTTTTTATACTGCATTATACCGTGGCCAGCATAAAAAGTGCTCAAAGGTCTCTTCAGACAAGGCTGTTTAAACCCGAAACCAAACTAACTTGCATCATCAGATGATGGATAAAAGAGACTTTATTTTCTCTATTTGTAATCTGGTCCTCTGACAACACAAGTTAGACATGTTTTCAGTCTCATGGGGTCATTGTCTGAACACAGCTTTACTCCTTGCTATAACAGCTGGAACCTTAATATGCAGTAGACTTGGACCTTTTAAAACCTATCAATCTTACATGCAAGGGGTATGCTGACACCCAGAAGTTCAGTTCTCATCAGTTTTTACTTAAAGTTGCTCAGATTATAAAAGCACATGTAATCCCTGAGTAATACCCCTGTTAATTGCTGCACCCAGTGTGCAGTTGGCTGGATAACACAGGTAGTGCACTGGTTGGTAAAGTCAGGTGGAACTGTATTTGACCACTGGCATTGCAAACATTAAAATTAAAGGGTCTAGTTCTGCACATTATAAAATATTATCCCAGAAATATTTAAAAGTTGAAACCAGTAAGAACTACAGTGTGCTGGAGCTAACCTGTTAGAAATACCATTACTTTAAACATTAAGCAATGACAGAACTGAAAGAAAGTGGCAAGAAACACTTTGATCAGTAGATAGCATATACCCAGCCAAAGTAGCTCCACTTAATGATTCTCTAATGACAGGTTCAAAGGAATGTAATTCCAAAAGCTGCTCTTGTGACCTGCCAAATTTATTAAACATTTCAACATGACTTTGATCCAAATGGTGAGTAATGAGGAGTAACATGGTCTTGCCTCCTGCACTTCTTGATTTTTTTTTTTTTTTTGGTCTTCCAACATTACACTTCACATAAATTCCCATCCCAAAGCCCAAACTGAAAAACTAAAATTTGATAAGAATAAGCAGCAACTGAAATACTGAGCTAAGAAGCCACCATGACAAACCAAAACTACCCACGTGTCAATGTTTATCATGTTCTCCATTGCTACATGTTGTAAGAAATAGAAGGATGTTTTCTGTCATTTGTAACAAAAACATACCGCTGTGATACATGTGACTTGGGAGTGCCAGTCACAGCTAAAATGAAACTATTATTTCATTTAAAAAGGCCTTAAAATATTTAACCCAAGCACATCAGAAAATTACCCCAGTTGATAACAAGAATATAATGATAAAAATTTAATTATGTGACAAAGAAATTTGGGTTCTAATATGACAAATTAATAATCTTATCAAAAAAATGCTAAGCCCTTAAGTGGAATATACTGTTCACCACATAAAATGTATGGCAGTTAGAGGTAAGAGCGTCAAGTGAGTAAGTATAAGGGTATTGTTGAGGAGAACACCCAGGAGAACCAGGTGGGGGAGGGGGGGGGGGCAGGAGGGGGTTAGTGGGGGTTTGGTCAGAGATATCGTTATTACACAGAGAAGTACATCAAGTTGTCCACAGTTGAAACTGCTGGAAATTATACGTACAGCCACATGAGCTGTTGTTTTTCATAGTTGAAAGCCTTCTCATAGCAAACCTTCCCAAGGCCACTAATGGATTTTCCTTCTAAATGAGAAAACCATGCAATGCTATGTGTTGATGAGGTAACAAGAGTGATATGCCACACAGACCAAAAGTTCACCCTGCCTCAGCCCTCTACATCCCCTACAGCTTCAAGTTTGGTCCATTATCAAGGTGAAGCTGATCAGTTACTATTTATTACCATGAAAAAAAAATTCACACCTATAGTACACAAATAGCATCAGTCAAACTGACCTTGCTATCTTCTGTATCAGAAATTTGACAATGTGTTCTGCATGCTCTCTAGCCTATAACCACTTACCCACGATTCTTTTATCTTCTTGAACATCCTTCACACCATCAAATCCTAAAGTCTGTTCTATCAGTCTTGAACTAAGTCAACTTGAACCCCGAAATAATATATATTTATATCCACAGTGTAAAGAAGTCCAGTGAAATGGAATCAGCTGAGCAGGAATTCTACTTCCAACCCCATGTACCTTTTACCACCGAGCCATCGTGCTGGTTTGATCTATAAATAACTTGGGACCGGCAAAACCCAAGCTGAAGTTTTCTGAGCAGCTGCAGGCGTCAGATTTCACATGGGGCTGTTGGGACTGCTTTCCTTTTTGGGTGCACCATCTACATATGAGCCAATCAGATCCTCTGTTCTAGTGGCAGGTCAGAGGTCAGAGGTCAGAGGACAGAGGTTAAGGAGTCATCAATGACTACTACAGCTTCTTTTCAACAAGAATTTCATTCTAATATCATAACAACTCCAACATGTTGGCTCATCCTCAAGATTGTTTCAAACACAGGACATCTTTAAAGAATACCACATGTCCAATCTGGACTTATGCCACTGGCCTCAGATGCCCAACTCTATGAAAACACAAGTCCAGCAGACTTGGAGGAGAGACTCCCAGGTCTACCAGATGATAAAACAAACTGAAGCACATTTGCTTTTAATAACAAACCTCCACAAACTGCTCTCCTCTGTTGCTATCTGGTGTGAAATGAAAATCTAGGAGTTGATGAAGAAGGGAGCTGATATATATGAAGGGAGGGGAGGGGATGCACTGACAAATCCTGATAGTCTGGATTCTGGTGTGTATCAAGCAGATAGCATCACTCTCCACAGCTGCAGACAGTCCTTTATTGGATCTTTGGGTAATGAGGCACAGCAACATTTGACAGTTCATTATTAAACTCCACTAATAAATTTATGGTGGGTTGATTTTTTTTTCATCCTACCTGTCTGCAAGTACCAAGAAATTCTTGCTACAAAAATTCTATAAATGATAAATATATAATTATAACTATCATAAATAATATAATAATGGGAATGTGTGAATGTGGCTTGTCAGATGGTCCACATTGTGTGTATTGATTTAAAAACCAGATTTTGAATTCAATTAACTCACTCAATCAACTCCTTTCCCAGAACTGTCTTAAAGGGCTTATGTCTGATGCAGGACAGCATGTCCATGTCATTATCACATACATGTCCACGCCATTATCACGCACATGTGCCAACAATGTGTTAATGACAGACTAGAATATCTGTCTCCCATAGAATCTTATTAGGAGTGTCTCCTCAATGTATTGCATCACAGGTGTAGCTTTGATTTGTACAAAATAAAATACAAAACTATAATATAGAGATACAAATGTAGCCACCGACTATTTGGAAATGCATCAATCTTCTAAAGGTTAATTGGGACTGTGTGTGTGTGTGTGTGTGTGTGTGTGAGTGTGTGTGTTTGTGGAGAAAGATATATATATAGAGAGAGACTTGAGAATGAGGGAGAGACAGAGGGTTGAACAAAAAAGGTTCGAAGGATAAACAACAGGAGCAGGTAAATATTGGACACCATGTATTTCATCCAGTTAAAGATATCTAAATGTTGTGCAAATTGCAACTCTGAGCCTTGGTGAGATGCTGTCTCCTGGTGATACAAGCTAGATCTATTTATAGTATTAAATGGACACATTATCAATACAGAAATGCCTCTGAGTCTTCGACTTGTTCCAGGTAAACTGAGGCCATTGCCTGAACATGTTAGCAAAGTGCCAGACTCTGTTAGTTGTTCCTCTTCTACCAGGAGGGCACATTGCACTTAATCCTGGAGGTGCCAAAATTTTGCCCACTGGGTGTGCTGCCCTCTCTACCACATTAGTACTCAGTTCTGGAGCAGGCTTGACAAGAAGACTATGATGGAAAGACAGTCTTAACTTTAAGACTGGAAAATTTAAGTCTTCTTCAATTCAGGATAAATTTATTTTACTTCATAAAAATAAAGTGACTATTGGTCTAGAATGTGAGCTTTATTCTTTTATTTCTTTATTTCTGTCTTTTTATTTACAAACAGGTGCAGTTTTCCATTGTAGACTTCTGCTGACTTAGCTTCAGTCAAAAATGACTAAAATTAATTCCATGTTTCTGGCATAAGTTTTGCTGTGAAACCAGACCCAAAATTATCACATTTGAAGGCCAGCTATGAAGTAATTTCCTATTTTTCTATGTATATCAACAAGCAATAATATCTACATTCATTTCCTAAATTTCCATCATTACATGCA